CTACTTCCCTACCACCCAAACTTTAGTTCCATGGTAAAAATCTGCTTCCCATGTAACAAATTCCAGTTTCAGTCCTTGGCATCTACAATCAGCATAGCTTTTTAATTCCATTATAACTCTGAACAGTCATTAATTGATCAGTCATAAATTGAGGATGACTTGTAATAAGCTTTGCTTCTTTATACAAATAACTAGAGTTATAGCATTCATTCATCTTAATTCATATAAACTAGTTTAAATGAGTAAAATCAAAATTTGTGCATTGGCCTGAATTTTTGTAAAGTCCCTTAGTGCAGGGGTCTCCAACCATTGCTCCATGGGCAAGTACCGGGCCGCAGCATGCCACCAACCGGTCCACACAAACAGCCCCATTCGTGAGATGCAGGCAGCACACAAAACCACACACACCCTGGTCCGCGGAAAAACCTCTCCACATAACCAGTCCTTGATGCCCAAAAGGTTGGGGACCTCTGCCTTAGTGATACTGTTAACAGGCTTCCTGGATTTCAAACTGTGCTGACTATAGATGCCAAGGACCGAGGCTGGAATCTTCTTACATAGGAAGCAGATGTTTATTGTGGAACTAGATTCTTCAGAATGCAGGAAATGTATCAATTTGTATCTATTTGGCTCAATCTTGCCAATGCAGCAACACCTCAATGCTTCTTCAAATCTGGAGATATACGCAACAGACATATTTTACCACTGAGTTAAAGAAAAGGTGGAATAAAACTCTTAACCTGCAGCATTTGGGCTAGGACAGAGGTAGGCAATCTTGGCTCTTTTATGACTCGTGGACTGGCTCAGGAATTCTGGGAGTTGACGTCCACGAGTTTGCATAAAAGAGCCAAGGTTGCCTACCCCTGGGCTAGGAGATTAAGCCAATTCTGCTGGTGACGTGATCATCTTGATTTGAAGTTGTTTTTAAGTTGGCATTATGAGTTATATTTTCTTGATGTTGGATTGTATGCTGCCTGGAGCCATTGTTGATAGATGGGGAGCTAAATAGGTCATTTAAATAAACTAATTTTAAAAATAAAATCTTTGCCGTATCATTTGGTTCAAAGCAAAACATGCTCATTTAAAGACAGAAACAATAGCAGGACAATGGATCTTTTAATGAACCTGGTATTAGATTCTTGAAATGAAAACTGTACCCAGTAAAGAGTCTGTGATGTTCTCAAGTTTCATCAGAAACATTCTGCTCAGCAAAACAGTTTTAAATGACGGCGAAACAGAAGACTGGGAAAACTTTCTAGTAAATGGTCTTGAGAATTTTCTTCATTGATATCTATAAATTAGGCACCAAGGAAGAAAATTCTCAAGGCCATTTAAATTAGGTTTTGTTAAAGAAAAGGGCATTCAATATATCAAAACCTATACTTGTTGATAAAAATTACAAGTAAAATGCTTGCAGATAGACACGGAAATAAAAAGAGTGTTCTATTCATTGAACATCTGGGGCAGCTGAAGAAATATTTGGAGTATCCTGTTCAATAGGCATGACACATATATTGATTTTCCCAAAGCTCAACTCTTTCAAAATATAAACCTTGCCTGGCTGGAAATAGGACTATTTGTGAAAGCAAGGCCAACTATTACATATATGATGAAATTCAAATCATTCCTAATCATACTAACTAAGGTAAAAGTATATACTTCTATCCTGATGAACGTCCAATTACAAATTGCACAACTAACACAGGGATTAGAGCCACCAAATTAGCTTTCAATGAATAGATTCTCACTTGATTTAAGAAAATTCTGAATATGCTATATCCTGTCCACACTTTGATCTTATTTAAACTGTTTCAACACAATGACCTCATTCCCTGAATTAGTAGAGATGGATCAGGGTTAGCAGACTGTATGAATTCCAAAAATAGATTAATTTCCCTAGTCAACTAACTAGCAAGATTACATTGGTCTCCAAACCAGCCCAAAGTAAATTTCCATAAGGTGACTGCTGACTTTGCCTCCTAGAGATGAACTCCTAAAAAGGTGAAGGATGAGCCTACAAACACGATTTCTCTTTGAATAATTCTATGACAGCCTTAAACTGCTGGTCTCCAACACTAAAACCATTTAGAAATGAAGCCAGATTTCAGTCTATTCTTCAGCTCTGGCAATAATGCTGATGAGCTGTCCTGTCTAAAGAGGGCTTACCAAGCACTCCAATTGGTAGATTCTCCCATGATTTACTTACCCATGCACCAATCACTTTCCTCTCAATCTTTGAGGACACCACATGTCCTCAAAGACCTCAAAGCCCTATGTAATAATAATAATAATAATAATAATAATAATAATAATAATAATAATAATAAGAAGAAGAAGAAGAAGAAGAAGAAGAAGAAGAAGAAGAAGAAGAAGAAGAAGAAAAAGAAAAAGAAAAAGAAGAAGAAAGGGACCTTGGAGGTCATCTAGTCCAATCCCCTGCTCAGGCAGGAAACCCTATACCATTTCGGACAAATGGCCGTCCAGTCTCTTCTTAAAAACTTTCAGTGTTGGAGCATTCACCGCTTCTGGAGGCAGGTTGTTCCACTGGTTAATTATTCTAACTGTCAGGAAGTTTCTCCTTAGTTCTAGGTTGCTTCTTGATTATTTTCCATCCGTTGTTTCTTGTCCTGCCTTCAGGTGCTTTGGAAAACAGCTTGACTCCTTCTTCTTTGTGGCAACACCTGAGATATTGGAATACTGCTATCATGTCACCCCTAGTCCTTCTTTTCATTAAACTAGACCAGTGGTGGCGAACCTATGGCACTCGTGCCAGAGGTAACACTCAGAGCCTTCTCTATGGGCACACGTGCCATGCCCCGGAGATGGCAACTGTCCCTCTTCAATCAGCCACCCTCTAACTTGCTGAGGTCCCACATGGCCAGATGCATCCCAGCATGGCTGGTTTCCCTCCCCCCTGTCCCATCCCTCCTGTCCTCGCATGTTCTCCTTTTTCCAGGCACGACTCACTGCATCTATGCTTCTATGAACTGCTGGCGGCGGGCTGCAGAGCCCCGGAGTGTGCCGGTCGAGGGGCCGGCAGGCTGTGGCTGCTGATGGACACCATTGGCCCCCATGCGCTCGCTGGCCTGTGTGCGAGGGCTGAAGGTGTCAGGCAGCAGCCGCCCCGGCCCCTGGCCTGCCTTGCCTTGCCTAACCCCACAGGACGAGCCTCCTGCCCACCGCCCCACCTGCCAGAGACCCCCTGGATCTCCCCCAACGCTGCCCGGCCCCCACAGGCATTCCTCCACACGAGCAACATCGAGGTGACCATGCCCAGCTTGGCCACACCCACCCAGTCTGCCATGACCACCACAGCCACACCCACCTAGTGGGCTACGCCCACCTGGCGATAAATAAGTGGTTTTGGGGTTGCAGTTTGGGCACTTGGTCTCTAAAAGGTTCGTCATCACTGAACTAGACATATCCAATTCCAGCAACTGTTCCTTTTATGTTTTAGCCTCCAGTCCCCTAATCATCTTTGTTGCTCTTCTCTGTACTCTTTCTAGAGTCTCAACATCTTTTTTACATCTTGGTGACCAAAACTGGATGCAGAATTCAGTGTGGCCTTACCAAGGCATTGTAAAGTGGTATTAATACTTCACGTGATGTTGATTCTATCCCTCTGTTAATGCAGCCTAGCACTGTATTGGCTTTTTTGGCAGCTGCAGCACACTGCTGGCTCATATGTGGTATATTCCCATCCATCAGTGGAGTCCTGAAAAATAAAGAGAGATTTACCATTCTTCTTGTTGCTTGATTTAGAAGGGAAAACTGATTTCTTGATAATTCCACCAATCTTGCCTGTTCTACAAGTGAACTGGGGGAAAACCTCAAAACACCTCTCAACTCACAGCTTTTCCAGAACTCCACTAGTGAGCTTGTAAAAAGTGTGGGGTCCAGATAGCCCATCACAAAAACGGCTACAAAGAGCAGTGTGAGGATCACACTGTATCAACAATATGGACTTTATACCATTGTACTTGCAAGTGACTATTGACTGGAGGGAAGAAGCACAGCACACAGTAAGTAACTGGCATAGGCCGATCACACAGAAGCAGAGAATTGCTTTTCATGTGGAACAAGAAAAAACAAGTGGAGATTGCTTTGTGTTATGAAGTATTTATTAAATTTTCCTGCATTCTGATCTTCAAGAGACAGTTGGGGGCCATCCTGGCACTAGGAAAAGCAGAATGTGCTCTGAAGAACTGTATGTGCTCGAACTTCATTGCTATTTTGTCTTCCAGTCTCTCCACTACTTTCCTCTGGCATTTTTCCTCCCTCTTTTCATTCAGACTTTGCAAAAAGAAAAAGGAAGTGGGCCAGGAAGTAATAGGCTTTTTTCACCAGCTGAGAAGTCTCTTTTAAAAAGGCACTGCACAATAACCCCAAGCGGTTCCCAATCCAAAATTCCTGAAACAGTAGGGTGAGTCCATTAACCGTCATCAGAGGGGATGGTTAGTTGTTCCTTTTAGGGCCATTAACTGGGGGGGGGGGGGAGAGACAATTAAAGGTTTCTTTTGCTTTAACACTAAACATATTTGATTGCATATGTACTTTTTTTCTTGCAGAAACGGATATATGCAAATAATAAGGCACATTTGTAATCATGACATTGCAAACTACGATGCAACGGAAAAAAGGACAGGGAAGATGCTCTTAACAAAATAAATCAGGATCAGTCTCGGAAAGGCCAGATACCATGGCCTCTCTAGGCCGCTGTCTTGGGTAAATACTTTGTCTCAACTCACCAGAGAAACCTTGAGATGTGACCTTGGAGCTCGATCATCCGGTCCTCGACCGGGATAACTGCTGTTTTAAAAGCCCATTTTAACGAACATTTCAAAAACACTGCTCGCAGTTTACCACCCGGGGACAAGTCGCATGCAAATGGCAACTACCCAGAAAGATATGCTTAGGCAGCTGCTATATCGTGGCCGCCATTCGCAAAAGGAGAAAAAGCCGTTCTCTTTGGAACGACTTAAGAGTCCGTTTCAGAAGCCCGGGAGAGGGGAAAAACAAAACAAAACACCACCCCTTTTCCTCAGAAACGTCTTCTTTGAAAGGGCGGTCGCTTTCAGATTGCCCTGATGTAACCCACCGGGCGAAACCTGAAAACTGCGCTCACGGGCTGGGCTTCTGAAGATGGATGAAATTACGCGCCTCTCGCCCTCATGCATAAAACATGGCGCCGGAGGCGGTAGAAGCTAGGCTCCCAGAGAGCAGAGCCAGGTAACCGGCACGGATCGCTCTTGAGTTTCCCTGGAGCTATCGGTGGCGAGCCGTGCGCTCCACCATATCCGAGGGGAAACTGGGGGCCAAAGCTTCTCGCTGGGCGCCGGCCTCTTCCTCCTCCTCCTCCTCCTCCGCACGTGCCTCCTCGCCGCGACTTCCGCGCGATTTTTGGCGCCGCCGGTTTAGTAGACCCTCCGCGCTTCTGCCCATGGAGCTCCGGCCAGGTCAACGCTGTCGCTGCCTTCTGAGGAACAGACTTCGGAGGCGCAGAACTGAACGCCGGCGTTTCTGCAGTAAGTGGCCCCTGAGGCGGGCATTTTGCTGCCTCTCGCAGAAGGCGGGAAATGGTTTTTCCTTTCCTCATAAGGCCAGTTGCGACCTTTTGGGAAAAGTGGTTTTCGCCCTCAGTCCGATTGTGAAGAGAAATGTAGCCCTGCCTTACACGGCCACCTAATTTTAAGCCATGTTAAGGCTCCTCAGAGCTTTAAAGTAATTTAAAAGAAGGGCGCAGCACAAAGGTGGAGGGATATTGGGTTCCTCCTCTGAAACAGATATGGCGCCCGTACCTCTAGGAGCCCTTCCTTCTGATTACTCTCCTGTGCTACTCGGCTGCTTATCTGTAAAGAGATAGTAAAGAGATGTGGCTTTGTGTCCAGCTTCCGTTCCCATGGCCTTCTTCTTTATTTGTAAAATTTATAAGCCGCCTATCTTACCTCATGGTAAGCTACCTCTTCGTTTTTCTCCTGTGGTTGAGAAGGGGATGCAGTGGTTGAAACTGGGGCTATTAGCTAATCTAATCTTTGGTAGAGAGAAGTTGTTGAGGCGGGCCTTAGGACAATTATCGATGCCATTGTTTCTGTGTGGAGAATTATGGGAGGTGAAGTCAACAGATTAAAGTTGCCAAGGTTGAGAAACACTGGTCTGTTCAACTGTCTATTGAGATTCTCAATCATCTAGGTTGTGGTTGTTCCAAAGGTGCTTTAATGAAGAAGGTTCTTGGATGAGGAGCAAAACATTTAAAAAAAAACCCAAGAAAGTCCAGTTGCCTTTTGGAAAAAGCACCTTTGGTCTATGCCAGGGATGGGCAACCTTGGTTCTTTGATGACTTGTGGACTTCAACTCTCAGAATTCCTGAGTCAGCATAGCTGGTTCAGGAATCTGGGTATTGAAGTCCACAAGTCATCAAAGAGCCAAGGTTGCCTACCCCTGGTCTATGCAATCTTAGCACTGTGATGGCACAACCTACTAACCTATAACTCCCACAATTCCTTGTCATTGGCCATGCTGACTGAATCTATGGAAAGAAAGCTGAACCCATTTGATACCAGCTATGCTTACACTGCAACTGTGGTTAGTCAGTACTGGCTTCTGAAAAATGTAGTGAACCAGTCCAGCAGCCAAAGATACCACATTGTGCTTGTACAACCTATTCAATCCAAAAAGTCAGGTTAACAAAGATGCATGATGCTCTTTTTATTATATGAGCTTTTTTTAAGTGTAGTGCCCTTTAAACCAGAGTAGCCATGAATTTAGGTGCATCACATTTATGTCTCACAACAGTCAAAAGTGTCTTGATATTTCAACTATGACAAGCTTTGCAAGCTCTGCTTATTGTAAATTTCAAATGCCAGCTGCTTTGAGTTTATATGCTAGTAAACTAGGACTTTGAGTAAAGAGCCCAAGAAAAAGGCAGTAAGTTGGCAATGCATGCTAGTTAACTATCATTGTTGACTTAGATGTATTGGGTAAACATAGGCAAAATATTGGAGGCAGCAGCCAATCCTTGTGGCTGTGATATTTCTTTAATCACTGGTAATTTCCCCTTGGGCAATGCAATAGTTAAGAATAATTTGCTGCACTACTTACAGAAGAAAAGTTGGATTCATACATGGCACTAAGCAATGAAGTTGTTGATAATGCCACACTAAACTATTTACAAATCATATTGTTTATATCTGCATGATTTGATTTTATAATTTAATATAAATATCTGGAATTACACAATTTATTGAACTATATATTCATCATGTGGTCTGGGTTCATATCGCAAACAGGGTTGCGTGCTTAGCCCCTACCTGTACTCATTGTACACATATGATTGTGTAACATCCGACCTATCCACTGCGATCATCAAGTTCGCAGATGACACGACCGTGGTGGGTCTCATTACAGGTGGAGAAGAGACAGCGTATAGGGGGGAGGTACAAAAACTATCCTCATAGTGCCTAGAGAACAACCTGCACCTGAACATTGGCAAGACGAAGGAGATGGTGCTAGACTTCCGGAGGAAAAGAGAGCAACCTGCCCCACTTTACATCGGAGGGGACTGTGTGGAGAGAGTTTCCTCCTTCAAATTCCTGGGAGTCTACCTCTGTGAAGATCTTGCCTGGAAAACTAATACAGCCCAGATGGCCAGAAAGGCCCAACAGAGACTCCACTTCTTCAGGGTTTTGCGGAAGAACAGGGTAGAACGAAGACTCATTACCTTCTTCTACCGGTCTACTACTGAAAACGTTCTCACATATTGTATTGTGGTTTGGTATGCTGGCCTTACAGCCGCGGACAGGAAAGTATTGCAGAGAGTGGTGAGCACGGCACAAGACATTGTGAGTTGTTCCCTGACTCCACTGGATGACATCGCCAGGGCCCGTTGCCTTGGCAGAGTGAGGAAACTTCTCAGGGATGACTCACACCCTGGTTGGTACCTTTTTACTCTCTTACCATCGGGTAGGAGATACAGAAACATAGCCAGCTGTACCAACAGGCTGAAGAACAGCTTTTATCCATAGGGTGTCAGGCTTCTGAACGGGACATAACTTTATAACTTTATGCATGACAGACTCGTGAGGCCGGCGTGATGTGCAATTAGTTCACAGGGTGAAATAAGTTGGGTTGTAGTCACCGTGAGTTTGCGGTGAGGGGGGGGGTACAGAGGGAGGCTCAGCCAATTTCACTGTATACATGTTATACTTTGATAATAAAGGTATTATTATTATTAATAATAATAATACTTTGATAATAAAGTGTTTATTATTAGTAGTATTATTAGTATTAATAGTTGGCTAGTTTTGATTGCATGAGACATCAAACCTTAGTCTAATGAATAAGTTTCAGCTGCATGAGAGGTACATTAGACACTATTTCTTGTAGCTGATCTCTGCCCTTAGTTTGCTCATCTGCATAGTCTCTTTGGTTGCTATATTACTATATGGTATGATGTAGCATTATGTATAATAGAAGTGATTAGAATAAATGGTTTACCCAAATCAGATAATTTAACCCATTAGATTAAAGATCAATAGGAGTTACACACAATTTGAAAGATTGGTTATACTGGAGTCTCATTTATTTTTCTCTGGTCAGAAAACCAGTTGTACAGAAATTGTTATTGGGCACTGATCAAAAAGGAGTGTACACAATAGTATTTCTTGGAAAGTGAAGTGGTCCACATCTCACAATGTTTTAGTTTGCTAAGATGGACAACTGAAATAAAAAATGGTTTTAGATTATAATTAGGGTACTTTACATGTAAATAGTTTAAAGGCAAGTATTGTGTTTTTAGTTTATTGGGGGGGCATAATTCCAGATGTCATCAGAATTTAGACTAATGGCTAGCTTATGTTAAGCATTCATTAATCTCCATAGAAAATAGTACAAAGTACAGTAGAGATAAAAAAAGAAAATAGGAAGCCTTTTGTAAGACAATCTTCTCTGTGTTTTGCTTTTTATTTTCTCCTCAAGGACATGTGAGACTAGAGGCATCAAAAAAGGGCTTAGGAAAATATCAGTTTGCTCCCTCCCCCCATAGAGGCTGCCTGTGCACCTGTTTTTTTTTAAAGAAAAGTGGGGAGCAACAGGGTTTATAAATTACTTTTTTAGCAAGCAGATGATGCAGGGCAATGACGTTACATGAGGGGGCATGCTAGATTTTCAGCCTCTTTACAGAGCTTTTAAAGTGGATTAATATTATTTTAAAATAGGATTAGATTTATTAGAGGCTTAATGCAACAGCTTCTTTTAGATTCCTGCTGAAAATTGGAATCTTACAGTCTCAATTTGTGATGAAATATTAGTTTTGCTGAATTTTGGCAGTGCAGTCTTGGAAGCCTTGCATGGACCAAGAGTAGAAAGCTATTTAATGTACCATATATGCAGGTTGTCTTTGCTTACTAATAGTATTTGGGACTGGGAATTCTGTCATTAAGTGACACTGTTATAAGGCATGGTGTCACATGACCATGTTGATGTACAATGGCAGTTCTGGCAGTTCCAGTTGCCATCATTAGGTGAATTCTGCAGAACTTTAGCATCTGGTGGTCATGTGATCACTGTGTGCAATCTCCTACCAGTTTCCCCATTGACTTTGCTTGTTGAAAACCAGCAGTGAAGGTCACAAATGGCATGGGATACTGCAACGTTATGATTGTGGTCCGTTTGCCAAAGTGATGCTATGGTGGCTGCATTTATGAGGATCCATTGTAGGTCCCCTTGTTCAGCACCATTGTAACTGTGAACAGTCACTGAACGAGTGGACATTAAGTAAGGATTACCTGTAATATATAGATGACCTATTTTGTTTCCTATGGCAAAGGAGAATATGCAGATAGGTTGAAAATGCATTTTAATATAAAAGGTTAACTTTTAGAATAGTTAAAGACTGATTCTCAGTCTTCATGCAAAATTAGTTAATGAGACAAGTTTTCATTAAAGAGAGGTTGTGCTTAGAATAGCAGAATTTATGTCATGAACATTTGGTTTATCATAGAACTATAGAAATTAATACATAAAAGCTAACAAGAGAAACATTTAATGTGAGAGCTGTACTGTTCATCTGTAAGAGGACAATGACACAAGAAGTGGACTACCTGATCTCAATTCTGACCTGGAACAAAAAAAGAACTAAGGTATTACAAGAAACATATTATTACTTCCCATAACATAGGCAGGTTCAACAGTTACAGTAATGAATACCAACTTCCTCCCAATATTTACTTCAAATGAATGGTAGATTAAAGAAATGTTATAGAACAGTTCAATGGTAGAGGATATTTGTGGTTGCAGAAGATTCCAGACTTAATCCTTGTTATTGCAGAAAATATTGGCATCTACCTATTTATGTGTGATTAAATACAGTGTTGAAAAGACTTTGGGATCTTGCAAACCTTGGCTATAATAATAGAATATTGCAAGTCTTGATTGTGCCTATAGCAAATCCCCCTTTTATACATTAGTGAATGAGGGAGGTATCTGCCTGAGTCAATTCTGAATGTTATTGGTTTGTTGTGAACTTAAA